GTGTACGTGACACCCACCCACCCACCCACCCACGCACGCACGCACGCACGCACGCACGCACGCACCCACACACACACACACACACACACACACACAGACAAAGGCTCCGAAGGACATATGAACAACGCACTTAAGTCCCCGCTGCCAATGTCCAACGGCGAGTCCATCGCGCGCAATGAGTTTGAGGCGAGCGCCCTATTTAACGTTTCAGTACTGCGATAGCTAGGCTTGAGAGGCTCCCGAAAATAGATAACTACAGGAGCTTTACTAACCCTAAACCCTTTTTTTGCTTCAGGGCTCTCGGGAGAACCCTAAACCCTAAACCCTCCACCCTGAACCCTACACACATTGTTGGCCACCGGTTGCGCCAAAAGCTCGGGGGCAGACATCGGACGACGCTGCAGCGACCTGCCAGCGACCGCTACACATGCCGCAAATTTGCGCCTCCCCCAAAAAACAATCCCTATATTACCCCTTTACGGAAGAGTACTTTTATGTTTTGGGGGTTCTGAAGCAATTGGTAGTACTTGAAGGTTCATGGGTACATGTAGGTAGGGTCGGTAGGGTTCTCAGTACCCCAAATAGGGTTGTAAACATAGTTCCCCTGCTGATAAGTACTCAGGAACCTTCAAGAAGTCACGTCACACCTTCAGGCCCCTTTTTTGGTCGACCTTCTGCGATGCTCCGCATGGTCAAATCTCTCTCTTTTGGAGGGCGTCGCTTGTTGCTACCTCACCGCCGAGCTTGCAACATCTCCTAGCAAAATCAGAGCCCTAAACCCTAAACCCTACGCCCTAAGCCCGAACCCCTAAACCCTAAACGCTAAACCGCTCAGAAGTACGTAGGGAGCGCCCTTACAGCTTGGAGAGCTTGTGCCGCAAAGGGACAGGGTCGACCGGGTTAGGATCCGCCATCCAACCTGGGTTTCCCAGATTAGGGTTTAGGGTTTAGGGTTTAGGGTATAGGGTTTAGGGTTTAGGGTATAGGGTATAGGGCTTGGGGTCTTTATAAACAGGGACTCCTAGTATTTGGGGGGTCTATTTTAGGGTTCCTTATTTTCGTACACCCCCACCTTTGTTTGGTGCATCAAAGGCCGTCATGCCACCATCCACGGTAAGGTCTTGTCCGGTGATCCACATGCTCTCGTCGGAGGCCAGGAAGCACACGGCGCGCGCGATGTCGATCCCCGTGCCGGCACGACCGACACGCAGAGATGCGCAGTTGTTCATGATGTTGGCTTCCACCTTCTATACTGAGCTTGGAGCCCCCAGCAAAAATCATTATTTTTCTTGCTGTTTCTTGGGAATTATAGTCCTTTAGCACCCAAGAACTTGTACCCTAAACCCTAAACCCTAAACCCTAAACCCTTAAGCCTTCTGCTGCTTCCGGGCGTTCTCTTCCGCAGTGAGCTTGGCGCCTCGCGCCGAACCCGGGGAGCCGCTCCAGAAGATTGGGGTGGCGGTGGCGCCGGGCGACACGCAGTTGATGCGCACGCCTCGAGGTGCGAGCTGCATGGCGGCTACTCTGCTGTAAGAGTCCATGGCCTTATACTGAACTTGGAACCCCAGCAAAAATTATATTTTCTTTGCTGTTTCTTAGGAATTAAAGTGCCCAAAAGTTTTAAAAAAACATATATTTCCAAGTACCCCCTAAGTGGCCCCCTTGCAGGCGCTGTAGAGGGGGTCTCCAAACCCAGCCTTCTTGGCGGCAATGGAGCTGTTGTTGATGATGGAGGAGGTCGGCTGCTTCACGAGGTGTGGTAAGGCGTGCTTTGTGGCCAAGACCATGGAGTTGAAGTTCAAGCTGAAGTTGGCGTCAAGATGCTCCTTCTTCACCTGGTCTACCCTGAAGGGTCCCACGGGCCCACCAGCATTGTTGAAAAGGATGTCCAGCTTGCCCCACTTCTCCACCGTCTTGTCGATGACATTCTTGATCTCTGACTCGACGTTTACATCACCTTACTTGTCCAGTTTCCCAAAACGAACTCGGCTAACCTTCAGGGGTGTACAGGGCTTGTACTGCTCGAAGGCAAGGCCAAAGGTTACTTACCGGACTACTGAGGCACACTTTGTGAACGCACAGCTCTCACCCAGCTCCGTGGCAATCTGCTCCCCTACCTTCTCCCCGCGGCCGCAGAACATCACCTTGCATCCCTCCTGGACGAAGATGCGCACCGTTTCGAGGCCAATGCCACTGGTGCCTCCAGTGATTATGGCCACCTTACCATCAAGACGGCCCATGGTCAATAGCAGGTCAAGGCCCTCCAAACTGTAGCAGCTTGAGCCCGAGCATGACATGCGAAGTCCGCTCGCCCAGCTGCTTCGTGTTTAGGGTTTAGGGTTTGGGGTTTGGGGTTTAGGGTTTAGGGCTTCATGCCCCGACAAGTGGGAAGGCGAAGGGTTAAGTGAGCTAGCGTCCGCGTGGCGATGGCTTGGGGGGCGGGGATATGCAGCAACTTAGCCTGTGGGCATCTGGGAGGCACCCTGGTTCCCTGATCGCCTGGGTCCACAACTTAAAGCATTGGCCTACAGGTGATGTGCTTTCCGGGTTGTGTACATATATGGTGACTTCTCGAAAGGATGGTCCCTTTTTTGGGCTACCGAAATAATGGGGGCCGCCTTACAATAAGGACCCCAAAAGCCCAAAAGGCACCATATTTTAGAGAAGCGACCATCTGTTGCCAAATCCGTTGCAGCTGAGGGTTTGGGCTTACTAGTTGCTGAGTTCAGAAGCCCCCCAAAAAAAGTGCACACTGTCAGTTTTTATAGGGGATTGTAGTATCCAAACATGTGTAAAGTGTACTCATTCAGCTACTATCATGGGGTTTCCCTGCTACCCCCCTTTGAACTACCCCCCCTAGGTTCCCCCCTTAGGCCTGCTGCCAGGGCCCATCCTTCCACTACTATCCAACAAAGGGCAGCAGCCTCACAGCAGCACACCCGCACCCTAACACGGAGAAACCTCTCCCAGTGCACTCTCCACCTCTTGAGCCTGTCCCCGTCCATGAGCTTTGTAAGCCTCACAGTCGCATCGCTCAAGAATCTCAATTTACATCCACCCACGCAAAATCACCGAAAACCAAGGATGTGCCAGAGAAAATTCGTTCGCGCGCGCGCGCGCGCGCGCCCGCACATGCGCCCCGCCTCGCGCAATTGAGCTGCCTAAAGCTGCTTAGCTGGGTTGAGACCCTGGCCCTTGCGAAAAATTTTAAGGATTTGGGCCTGAGTCTGAAGTTCTGGGAAGTAGCTACCATGCCCAAGGATGTAATGTTTCACACAAACACACACATACAAAACCCCAAACGCCTGAAACCCTGATTTGTCAACCTGCCCAAACTTGCGGCTTCAGGATTGCCGGACGCCGAACGTTTTGCTGCGTCATAAGGTGACACAACAGTGCAATGAGTGCGGACAGCCAAGCCACTTGAGTTATCCATATCTTACGCAGAACTGTCCAGCTCTGAATGGACTCCTCGCTGCTTTGGCTTGCCCTCCTCATCCTCTTGGCCGGTTTAGGGTTTAGGGTTTAGGGTTTAGGGTTGAGGGTTTAGGGTTTAGGGTTTAGGGTTTAGGGTTTAGGGTTTAGGGTCGGAAGGAGCCAGAGGCTCCCAGGCTTGAGCGGCAGTCGCCCGAACAGCCCGAACAGCGAACGAGCACTTGAATCCAAAGCCTAGCCGCAAAAACCCGATTCAACCTGACACCCCCTAAACCCTAAACCCTAAACCCTAAACCCTAAACCTTAAACCCTAAACCCTGAAGTTGGAGGATGGGACAAGGACGACGAGTGATGGGATTCGCTGCGTTTTAACTTAAGGGCACAGAAGCTACGTGACATGCTATTCCACCTTCCCTAACCCCCTCATTAGGCTTAATTATCCCTAACACCTAGGGGGCGTACTGTAGAGGGGGGTAGTCGGGGAACCCTATACCCTAAACCTCAAACCCTAAACCCTAAACCCTAAACCCTAAACCCTAAACCCCAAACCCTAAACCCTAAACCCTAAACCCTGAACCCAACAACCCCGCAAACCCCAAACCAACACCCATGATACTAAGTTTAGGATATTGGGCCCAGAGGCTTCGGAGCCAGCCCTAAACCCTAAACCCTAAACCCTAAACCCTAGACCCTCGACCCTAAACCCTAAACCCTAAACCCGCCTCCAGGTCACTCTTGCCCGCATGGCGGCCTCTGCGCGAGTCTCTGGTTTGAAATGTTGGGAGAGTTTGGCCAGTCACATGGCCTCACGCTTATCCCTAAACCCTAAACCCTAAACCCAAAATCAAAAACCCGAACCCTAAACCTAAACCCCAAACCCCAAACCCTAAACCCCAAACCCCAAACCCTAAACCCTAAACCCTAAACCCTAAGCCGTCCGAGCTCAAGGCCGATGCCTTTCTCTTCACTACGCTGCGAGGTACGTCGCTCGGGTTTAGGGTTTAGGGTTTAGGGTTTAGGGTTCAGGGCCTTTACACGTCTAGCTGAAGGAAAAAAGCCTAGACGTGCGCCTGGACTCCGATCGCTATCCGCGCTGAGCTCCGAGCGCGCCACTTCGTCGCTGTCGAGTCCGGCCTCGCTGTACTTGCAGCGACGACAACTTTGACCCCTAAACTCAGCTTGCTGCGGCCGCCAAGCAATTCTCATGCAACATGTGGCGTTTCTTTCTGGCGCTGCTTGGTAACAACTCGTAACGATCTCGATCTCAGGGCCAATGGAAACTCAAAGAGTGGCCTCCGACTCTCGCCGACCCTCATGCAACAGGATGCATCAACCCCTCAATGCTCTCAAGGTGGGCCCGTGAAATATCTCAGGCACACCCAAAACAGAGCATGGCAGCTAGGCTGCAGAACCGCCCAGCTGCGAAGTGAATTCGCCACGTGCATGGAAAAACAAGAAATCGAGCCACAGGACTTAGGGCCTTGGGCATTTGGCTGCTCACTGGGGCTTAATAAGGACCGGCCGCTTGCATCACGTTGCCATCGGTGCCGACACTAGCGCAGCTGCCTGGCGTGTACTTGCCGAAAACCGCGTCCGAGTTTGCATTGGCGCGTGCCTTGAGGGCCTTCTGTGCAGCAGCCTCGTTCTCCGTCTTTCCCAGCCAAGTGACAATGCAGGTCTTCTGCAAGGCTTTGCCGTAGGAGAAGGACAAATGCCAAGGCAGCTTTCCCGCAAAGAGACGGTTCATGGTGCTCAGATTGATGGTGGCCTCTTCCTCGTTGTCTTCATTCAGGGCTGTCTCACCGGACAGGAAGAAAATGCCTGGCATAGAAGGCGGAACTGTGCGCAGCAAGGTCTGGCACGTCAGAGTGGCAATGGTCTCGGCGCTTGCCTTCGGACCGCCCAGGCCATTCTTGACCATGTTTGGCTTCAGCACAGCGCCCTCCAAGAAGATGTGGTGATCGGCCAGAGCCTTGAACTGTGCCGCCAGGACTTTATTCGTCATCTCCGCACAGTAGTTGATGTCATGATTGCCTTGGAATGCGATCGAACCCTCGCTTCTGTGATCTCATCAGACAAACACAAGCCAGACATTGCTCAACAACCCTAAACCCTTAACCCTAAACGCCCTGAACCCCAAACCATGATCCCTAAACCCTAAACCGCAGCTCTCTTGCAACACCTTGAGAGTCAACTAAACTCAGCATGGGTCGCCATTGGGAACGATCTCAGGCTCAACGATGGGCACCAAGCGTTCGCTCTGGCAGATGGATGCATAGCGTGCCAAGGTGTGCACGGTATCTGCAATGGATAGATCAGTGGGCATTCCCTTGGATGGATCCAGTTGCAGGACGTTGCGCCATTTGGCAAAGCGGGCGCCCTTCGCATACGCCTGCGCGCACTTCTGCTGGAGGTCGTCTAAGCCAACGGTGGCAACCTCCGGATGGCCAAGTGGACCAAGAGGTGTTCCCCACATGCCCTTCTTGTTGTAGCCTTTGTCCACTTTGATGCCTGGAATCATGCCATTCTCTTTGATGATTTCCACCATCGGCTTGCCCGTGGCATCATCCTGCAGGAGAGTCTCCCAGTGGAGAATGACCCCGCTGATGTGCTCGCTCAGGCCAGGCGTGGAGAAGCACATCGCTCGGTAGGCGGCCCTGTTCTCGATGACATCCTCAGCACTTTCGCAGCATTGCATGCACATGCGGCCTGTTTGCGCCGGCGGCAGCAAGCCAGCAGTTGCAAAACCACTTAAGACTTCCTGCAAGCCCTCGCCTGCTAGAATAAACAGTTCTCTTATCCGGAAATTTAGCAAGCCTGGACTGCCAAGACTAAGCGTCCGGAATCTTCGCGGCCTCTGCGTGGCCTGCGCGCAGCCATGGTCCAGCGCTTTCATCAGCTGCTAAGAAGCCTTTGCCTCGCGAGCGTAGGCGTTGTCACAAGGAGGCTAGGGAACATAGAGCATCCGATAGACTCTGCAGAATTACCAGCAGTCCCATGATTGAGAAACCCCCAACCAAGAACCAATGACGCATTGATGACATGACGGCTCTCACACACCAAGTGGCTGTTTACTTCTTTCTACTTTCCGCAATGGTCGCTGCTCTCGCTCTCACACTCTCTCTCTCTCTCTCTTTCGCTCGCTCGCTCTCTGCAAACTTGCTGAGTCGCGCCTGGCGCACAGAGCATTTTAGCAGTCTCCTTCAGCTCTGCCAATACATCTGCTGGCAGCACGTTTGGGAGACCAACGGGAGCCAGGGACATGTCTGGAAACTACCTTGACGAAACGAGGACTTGAATCAATTGAAGAAATGGCTATGGCTCGGGTTGCTGATAAGATTGCGTGAGCATCGCGGCTTGTGATTCTAAGTGTAAACCCCGCGCGATCATGTTGTGGCATTTAGGGGGTTTGCGATTTATAGGGTTTATAGGGCTTGGAGGGTTGTGTTATAGCGCTCATCAAGTAAATCCCATCTTCTAATGTTACCCTCCCCCCACCGACCCCACAAAGCCCTGAAATGTCCCGATCTCGCCCAGGAAATGTTTAGCATTGAGGAGAGACCTCCAAAGAGGCTCCAGAGCTCTGCGAGTTTGTCAACCGCTGACTATCTCTCTTCACATTCCACCTCTCAGAGCTCAACCCTAAACCCTAAACCCTAAACCCTAAACCCCAAACCCCAAACCCCAAACCCTAAACCCTAAAACCTAAACGAGAAGATGTATGACTCGGATTCTAGTGGACAGTCCTGGACAGCTGATGGGACTCACGCTTTGGGCCCAGGTGTGAACAAAGCCTACACGTGCGCCACTTTGACCCTAAACCCAGCTTGCTGCGGCCGCCAAGCAATTCTCATGCACCCTTCTGGCACAAAAGAAGAACGGCCCGACATGTGGCGTTTCTTTCTGGCGCTTCTTGGTAACGACTCGTAACGATCTCGATCTCAGGGCCACTGGAAACTCCAAGAGTGGTTTCCGGCTCTTGCCGACCCTCATGCAACAGGATGCATCAACCCCTCAATGCTCTCAAGGTGGGCCCATGAAATATCTCAGGCACACCCAAAACAGAGCATGGCAGCTAGGCCGCACAATGTGCTCAGCTGCGAAGTGAATTCGCCACGTGCATGGAAAAACAAGAAATCGAGCCACAGGACTTAGGGCCTTGGGCATTTGGCTGCTCACTGGGGCTTAATAAGGACCGGCCGCTTGCATCACGTTGCCATCGGTGCCGACACTAGCGCAGCTGCCTGGCGTGTACTTGCCGAAAACCGCGTCCGAGTTTGCATTGGCGCGTGCCTTGAGGGCCTTCTGTGCAGCAGCCTCGTTCTCCGTCTTTCCCAGCCAAGTGACAATGCAGGTCTTCTGCAAGGCTTTGCCGTAGGAGAAGGACAAATGCCAAGGCAGCTTTCCCGCAAAGAGACGGTTCATGGTGCTCAGATTGATGGTGGCCTCTTCCTCGTTGTCTTCATTCAAGGCGGTCTCACCGGACAGGAAGAAAATGCCTGGCATAGAAGGCGGAACTGTGCGCAGCAAGGTCTGGCACGTCAGAGTGGCAATGGTCTCGGCGCTTGCCTTCGGACCGCCCAGGCCATTCTTGACCATGTTTGGCTTCAGCACAGCGCCCTCCAAGAAGATGTGGTGATCGGCCAAAGCCTTGAACTGTGCTGCCAGGACTTTATTCGTCATCTCCGCACAGTAGTTGATGTCATGATTGCCTTGGAATGCGATCGAACCCTCGCTTCTGTGATCTCATCAGACAAACACAAGCCAGACATTGCTCAACAACCCTAAACCCTTAACCCTAAACGCCCTGAACCCCAAACCATGAGCCCTAAACCCTAAACCGCAGCTCTCTTGCAACACCTTGAGAACCAACTCAACTCAGCATGGGTCGCCATTGGGAACGATCTCAGGCTCAACGATGGGCACCAAGCGTTCGCTCTGGCAGATGGATGCATAGCGTGCCAAGGTGTGCACGGTATCTGCAATGGATAGGTCAGTGGGCATTCCCTTGGATGGATCCAGCTGCAGGACGTTGCGCCATTTGGCAAAGCGGGCGCCCTTCGCATACGCCTGCGCGCACTTCTGCTGGAGGTCGTCTAAGCCAACGGTGGCAACCTCCGGATGGCCAAGCGGACCCAGAGGTGTTCCCCACATGCCCTTCTTGTTGTAGCCTTTGTCCACTTTGATGCCTGGAATCATGCCATTCTCTTTGATGATTTCCACCATCGGCTTGCCCTTAGCATCATCCTGCAGGAGAGTCTCCCAGTGGAGAATGACCCCACTGATGTGCTCGCTCAGGCCAGGCGTGGAGAAGCACATCGCTCGGTAGGCGGCCCTGTTCTCGATGACATCCTCAGCACTTTCGCAGCATTGCATGCACATGCGGCCTGTTTGCCGGGGGCAGCAAGGGCCTTCTCTTGAAATCTGCGGTGCTTTTGGATGCTTGGAGTGTTTCGCCGCTTCGCCCATCATCGACACACAAGGACTTTCTTAGCGACAAAGGACTTCAGTTGCAAAACCACTTCCTGCAAACCCTCGCCTGCTGGAATAAACTGCTATCCTATCCTGTCGGAAATAGTAAGCCTTGACTGCCAAGACTAAGCGTCCGGGATCTTCGCTGCCTCTGCATGGCCTGCCCGAAGCCATGGTCCAGCGCTTTCATCAGCTGCTAAGAAGCCTTTGCCTCGTCAGCGTAGGCGTTGTCACAAGGAGGCTAGGGAACATAAAGCATCTCGACAATTAGACGCTGCAGGTTTACCAGCAGTCCCATGATTGAAAAAACACCCGACCAAGAACCAATGACGCATTGATGACATGACGGCTCTCACACAACAAGTGGCTGTTTACTTCTGTCTACTTTCGGCAATGGACGCTGCTCTCACTCTCTCACACACACACACTCACTCTCTCTCTCTGTCTGTCTGTCTCTCTCTCTCTCTCTCTGTCTCTCGCTCGCCTCTCTACAAACTTGCTGACTCGCGCCTGGCGCACAGAGCATTTTAGCAGTCTCCTTCAGCTCTGCCAACACATCTGCCGGCAGCACGCTTGGGAGACCAACGGGAGCCAAGGACATGTCTGGAAACTACTTTGACGAAACAAGGACTTGAATCAATTGAAGAAATGGCTATGGCTCGGGTTGCAGAGAAGTTTGTGTGAGCATCACGGCTGTGATTCTAAGAGCAAACCCCGCGCGATCATGTTGTGGCGTTTAGGGCGTTTGAGGCTTATAGGGGTTATAGGGCTTGGAGGGTTGGGTTGTAGCGCTCATCAGAAGTGCTAGGCATGTTGACCCTAAACCCGCCCTAAGCCAAAGCCGCACTTTTAGCTTCTTTGCGTCAGCTTGCGAATGTTCGCCCGGAGATGGCCCTGAACCCTTTCAACTCTAAACCCTAAACCCTGAGCCGTGGCACCTTGAACTGGTCCAACTGGTTAGCGACTCGGGTCTTGGAGTGAAACTCCTTGCAATCAAGATCGGTTTGGAGTTTAGGGATTAGGGTTCAGGGTTTAGGGTTGGTGGTAGAGGGCGTGGGGTTTCGCATGTTGGGTTTAGCTTTTGAGGGTTGGGGTTGCTGGTGTAGGGTCTGAGGCGTAGGGTTAGGTCCTTCTCAGCGGCGGTAGGAGTACGACGATTCTGACCATGGTCATGACAATGATGGGGGCCATAGTTGTGATGAGGACGATGGTGATGTTTAGGGTTTAGCGTTTAGGGTTGGTTCACAAGTCCAAGCCAACAGAAAGGCGCATCCGCATTGCAACATATTGGCTGGGATACCTGCGCGATTCTGCCCGTCCACTTTTTGCCTGGGACTTTGCTACTTAGAGCTCCACCTGTGTTAGGGTTTAGGGTTTAGGGTTTAGGGTTTAGGGTTTAGGGTTTAGGGTTTAGGGATTAGGGTTTGGGGTCAGCACTGGGATCAAGGTCTGAAATCTGTATGCGCATGGCAATGTACCTCTGGGCCTTCAACGGACCCTAAACCGGAAGAGGGCACCGGGTTCTGCGGTGATGAGCTGCTTTTCGTGCACATTCTTAGCTAAGCCGAAACCAACAAAAAGCCCAGAACCCGACACCCTAAAACCTGGTCCCTGTCGAGAAGCATCAGCATGGCAGCCCATGGCGCGTTTGAAAGCTTGGTTTAGGGTTTAGGGTTTAGGGTTTAATTAGGGTTCAGGGTTTCGGGATAGCCCCAGGCATGCTGTATGCTTTCTACTTGCAGCTTCCAGAGCCAAGCAGGCCAAAGCGATGCTGTGGCCGAGGGTTGAGGATTTAGGGTTTAGGGTGGAAGGTTCAGGGTTTTGTGTTTAGGGTTTAGGGTTTAGGGCGTAAGGGTTTAGGGTTTAGGGTTTAGGGTTTGAGGTTTGGAGCTTAGGGTTCAGCGTAGGTTTTAGGGCTGATGCCTCAAGCGTCCAATGCCGGGAAAACTCACCAGCAAGGCGAGGCACCCGACACGTGGAGCCCCAAGGCCCGAAGCCCCAACCCTAAACCCTAAACCCTAAACCCTAAACCCTAAACCCTAAACCCTAAATCCATGCATGCGGCGCAAGGACGATGGCCTTGGAATGTCGGGATTTCTCAGCATAGGCTTTCGGGACCGAAGTGGCCAGCATGGGCCATAGGCTGGGTGCCCCTTTAGGGTTTGGGGTTTAGAGGGTTTAGGGTGTAGGGTTTAGGGTTTAGAGGGTTTGACGGCGTTCGATCTGATTGTTTTTTTGGCGAAAACTGTTCAGTCCCACGTTTGGGCCAGCTGTTGGCCACAGCAGGTCTGTCATAAGAAGCTTCAGAGGCAGACAAGAGGAGCCAGACGGCACGGCATCAAAGCCAGATAAAAACAAAAAACAACACAGATCTGATCCGAGATCATACACATCACAACACTACATAGGCAAGGCCTTCACCTCGCTATCACTCAGGGCCTTGTTCATGATCTCAAGATTGCGCATCTCACCATTGAAGGCCTCATGGGTGCGGCCGGGTTCACCCACGCAGGCGCAGAAGCCGCTCTTGTCCACAGCATTGAAGGCACCCGAGTAGGCTTTGCTCCCCATGAGCTTGCCGTTCATGTAGATCTTGATGGTGCTCTTGTCCCAGCTGGCCGCGATGCTCTTCCAGCCACTGCTGATGACTCCGTCCGCCTGCACGGCAAGCTCCACCTGGCGGCCGTTGGCCTTCCAGTAGAGGTGAATCCCACCGTTTCCCCTCCAGGGGATCAGGCGAAGGGAGACGAAATTGTCGCCCTGGCTGCCCCAGCCCACGACTCCCGGATGCCCCCCTGCTGAGGGGTTGATCTCGGCATAGATGGTGAAGGACCCTGTACTCGGCAAGTCTGCTTTCGACCCTTCGGCATTTTGCATGCACTTGTTGCATTGAAAACTGCTGGCATGCTTGTATACCAATGGGGCTTTGAGCTGAGGAGCACTGCTGCCGCCAGAATCAGCCATGGGCAGGCTCTTCACCTCCGTGTCGGACAATGCTTTGTCCATGATCTGCACATTGCGCATCTCACCATTGAAAGCCTCATGGGTGCGGCCGGGTTCACCCACGCAGGCGCAGAAGCCGCTCTTGTCCACAGCATTGAAGGCACCCGAGTAGGCTTTGCTCCCCATGAGCTTGCCGTTCATGTAGATCTTGATGGTGCTCTTGTCCCAGCTGGCCGCGATGCTCTTCCAGCCACTGCTGATGACTCCGTCCGCCTGCACGGCAAGCTCCACCTGGCGGCCGTTGGCCTTCCAGTAGAGGTGAATCCCACCGTTTCCCCTCCAGGGGATCAGGCGAAGGGAGACGAAATTGTCGCCCTGGCTGCCCCAGCCCACGACTCCCGGATGCCCCCCTGCTGAGGGGTTGATCTCGGCATAGATGGTGAAGGACCCTGTGCTCGGCAAGTCTGCTTTCGACCCTTCGGCATTTTGCATGCACTTCCTAGGTCTTGAGTTGCACTGTGCACAGAACTATTATACAATCAAGGTGTGACTTCACCAACGAAGATAAATCAAGTATACCAAGTTGGCACCTAGTTTCCCGCATTGGAACTTGTTTACATGGCTGAAGACCAACGGGGGGGTCAGGCTTGCTTCCTTAACGCCACTGGCGGCATGAGCCATGGGCAAGGCTTTCACCGCCGAGTCTTCCAAGGCCCTGTTCAAGACCTGCACGTGGCGCATCTTGCCCTGGAAAGCCTCATGTGTGCGGCCGGGTTCACCCACGCAGGCGCAGAAGCCGCTCTTGTCAACAGCATTGAAGGCACCCGAGTAGGCTTTGCTCCCCATGACCTTGCCGTTCATGTAGATCTTGATGGTGCTCTTGTCCCAGCTGGCCGCGACGCTCTTCCAGCCACTGCTGATGACTCCGTCCGCCTGCACCGCAAGCTCCACCTGGCGGCCGTTGGCCTTCCAGTAGAGGTGAATGCCACCTTAGGATGCTTTTTGGTTTTAAGAGGATTATAAGGAACCCTAAACCCCAAACTCACAGTGGGGGGGGGGGGCGCCTAAGCCTCTTGATTTCGATGGCGCAAGCCGACCCAGGTCGTTCGCCCGCCTCCCCACACATGGGGTAGCGGAGCCCGTTCCTTTTCGAGACCAGTACCGGTCCCGAAAGAAAGTAATAAACCCCCTACCCCCTGTTCCTGGGCGTCGGTACCCCAAGGGCCCTCGGCCAGGGGGTCCCGGAGCCCTCGCCACAGTGGACCAGTAAGGGTTCTTCCTGAAAACCTTGGGGCCTGACGCGAGACCTCCTGGATCGGAAGAAGTTTTTGGAAGTGTTGAGCGACTTGAGACTAAGCCTAAACCCTAAAAGGAACAGGTTTGGGTGGTTTTGCCGCCTGAGACGGCGTGGGGTGGGAGAAAAGTGTTAGACTTCGCGCCCCACGAAGCTTTCGAGCTGTTCCACGTCCGAATCTTCACAGCATCTACGCCAACCCTAAACCCTCAACCCTAAACCCTCAACCCTAAACCCTGTCAAAAATGTCCCAAGGGCCTACCTAGCCACCGTTTCCCCGCCAGGGGATCAGGCGAAGGGAGACGAAGTTGTCGCCCGAGCTGCCCCAGCCAATGACACCAGGGTGGCCTGGTTTAGGGTTCAGGGTTCAGGGTTTAGGGTTTAGGGTGCAGGGATTAGGTGAGACATTTCAAAGCGCCGGATTTACGGCGTAGTCTTCCCCACATCCGTTTTGTTCGCCGTGCGGCAAACCATGAAGCCTAAATGTTAAGCTTACAGTTGACACAGGCGGCCGCACCCGTCACAAAAACGATCTCGTGATGGGTACAGCTACTCAGACCGCGGTTAAGGACAGCAAAGAAGCTCCCATGAGGTGTTCAAAACACCCATCCATAGCACTCGCACCGAAGCACCTGAAGATCCAAAGATTGAAGTATAAGATTCCGGTCTGAGGCTCTAGGCTCAGGGCTTAAAGGTTTAAAGCAGAGGGTTCAGGGACAGAACCCAGGAAGCCTGGTTCGAGCCTCAGAGGCCCTGCAACCAGTCAACCCTAAACCCTAAACCCTAAACCCTAAACCCTAAACCCTAAACCCTAAACCCTAAACCCTAAGCCCCCATTGCTTTGCAGATGAACTGAGCTCTGAGGCCTACAAGCAAGATTAGCCCGCAGCTCCTGAACCCCCACAACCCTGAACCCCCCCCCCCCCCCCAAATAAACCCCGGATCCGGATTGCCTCCTGCTGTCGGGTTGATCTCCGCATAGATGGTGAAAGGACCCGTCGTCCTGAGTCCAACTTTCATTCTGCAATCGAGCAACTCTCGGCATCATCATACGGTAATATAAATCTTCTCCCAATTAGTGTTAGGTAAATTTTTTTGTGCGAAGACGAGATCAGGACCTACAAAGAGTGCTGAAAGAGTTCTACGTTCTAAGATGTTTAACATTATCCAAAGCAAAAGAAACAGAGCACCCAGACTCTTGACGCGCACACCCTGCTCCCTACTCCCTAAACCTTAAACCCAGAAAGAAAAAGGTCAGCATACCAACAAGACCTTTAACACCCATGCACAAACTCATAAAAGAGCTCCTCCTCATGTCAAACCCTTCCAAAACCCCGATGAAACAGGCTCAAACACACGATCAACCCTTTAAAGACAAGAGGACCAAAAAGACCACAACTCCAAAACGTTAAACGCTACTAACCCTTTTTGCAATAGGCTTCTGAAGACCCCGAACCCTACACCCTACACCCTAAACCCTAAACCCTATGCCCTAAACCCTAAGCCCTAGCACCCTAAAACCCTAAAACCCTAAAACCCTCAAACCCTCAAACCCTAAAACCCTAAAACCCGAAAACCCTAAAACAATAAACCCTAAACCCTAAACCCTAAACCCTAAACCCTAGGCGGCCGGGAGTCGGCAAGGCCGCCTTCGAGCCCTCTGCATTTTGCATGCACTTGTTGCACTGGAACTCACCTCTTTTTTAGGGTTTAGGGGTTTAGGGTTTAGGGGTTTGAGGGTTTAGGGTTTAGGGGTTTAGGGGGTTTGGGGCTGGAACTCACCGCTCTTTTTTGCACCATTGTTTGAGTGCCATTCAATCATGATCGTTTTGGTTCCTTATTGGGTTTTTAAGTACCCATGAAATTTATAATGGTTTTCAACAATGACCCAGATTGAAAGGGCTTAGGGTCTGAGGGTTTCGGGTTTCAGGGCTTAGGGTCTAAGGGTTAAGGGTTGAGGGTTTGGGGACTAGGGGGGCTTCGGGTGTGAGGGCTTAGGGGATGAAGGTTTAGGACTTTGAGGGCTTAGGGCCTAAGGGTTTAGGGGCTTTAAGGGTTATAGCGTTTAGGGTTTAGGGTTTATAGGGTTAGCGTCTAGGACGGTTTCGGGCTTCTGGGTAGGTTTCGGGGGCCTCTCTCAGGATTCGGCAAAGGATGAGCTCAACTTAGGGGGCTTCAGGCTAGGGATTCCTGCGTTTAGGGCTCAGGCTTTGGAGATTGGAAGGGTTCAGGGTTTAGGGTGTAGGGTTTAGGGTTCAGGGTTTAGGGTTCTTGAAGGGTTCAAGAAGCGGGCCCCTTGGTTCTTGAAGGCTTGTACTAGGGTGATATAGGGGCCTGCAGGGTTGAGGCTTATGGGGTTAAGGTGGTTTTCGCGGGTCTAGCGGCTGCGGCTTAGGGTTTACCAACCCACCAAAAACCCTAAACCCTAAACCCTAAACCCTAAACCCTAAAAACTAAACCCTAAACCCTAAACCCTAAACCCTAAACCCTAAACCCTTAGCCTAGAGGCCTAGAGTAGCAACTTGGGAGAGCTGTCGAATCGCAGGTTGGAACCATGCGCCCGTAGTTTGGGGCCCTTACCCTTGTCAAACAGGGATCCGATGTATGAGCCCGGTTTAGGGTTTAGGGTTTAGGGTTTAGGGTTTAGGGTTTCGGGCTTTATTTAACACGCGACCCCCAAATCCTATAGCAACCCATCGAAGCTTGCAAAAAGTGGGTTTAGGGTTTCAGGGCTTCTCGGGTTTCCTGTCGGTTTAGGGTTTGGAGTCTGGAGTGTAGCTTGGCATGAGGATCTAGGGTCTAGGGTCTAGGGTCCAAGGTCCAGGCTGGAGGGTCTAGGGTCCAGGGTCTAGGGGCCTAGGGTTTAGGGTCTAGGGTTTAGGGTTTAAGCAGTCATTAAGCCCAAGATATGAGAAGCAGGACACCTTGGCCAGCATGCTTGGTGACTTCGCGCTATCAACACTCCCCCCTCAGACGATCAGAGACCACTGAAACCATAAGCCCCCAAACCCTAAACCCTAAAGCCTAAACCCTGCACCCTAAACCCTAAACCTGAATTCCCTACACCCTGACTCTCCACGGATGCCTGCGTGACTGAACACCAGTGGAGACGGGCTTCTGGCATTTCCTGGGAGGTCTAGGGGTTTTATGAAGGTTTAGGGCTTAGGGTTTGGGGCTTAGGGTTGCATCTGAACAGGGCTGATGAAGGGTTTGAATATCATTCGCGTTCCAGAGGACTCTTTTTGAGGGTTCCAGACAATTACATTTGGTTTCATAAAGGTTTCTGGCTCCTAGAGAGCCCACGTGATCTCAAAATTAAGGAATACTCCTGGCGCTAAATAAGGTTCCCTGGAACTGCCTGAAGAACTAAGCCGCAAGCCCCTAGGTTCCTAAGCCCAAACACCCTTAACACAATTCCTAAACCCCCAGCCCTAAGTTTAGTTCACAGGTAGTCATGTCTGTAGGTGTGCAGCGAGAATGCACGGGGCCAAAGGCACAAGGCACTCAACCCCAAACCCTAAACCCTAAACCCTAAATCCTAAACCCTAATGCCTAAACCCTTGAGGGATTTAGGGTTGCGGAAGAAGGCTTGGAGCATAAGGATCCATACAGGGGCCGCAAGAATTGGAGAGGGTGTGGGTTATATCATCGTCTATGTATTATAAGGGGATATGAGCAAAAACTATTCTGACCCATAACTGCCATTGCTGGACACACGCTTTTGAACCCTAAACCGTTAACCCTAAACCCTAACCCTAAACCCTAAACCCTAAACCCTAAACCCTAAACCCTAAACCCTAAACCCTAAACCCTAAACCCTAAACCCTAAACCCTAAACCCTAAACCCTAAACCCTAAACCCTAAACCCTAACCCTAAACCCTAAACCCAAAACCGAGATTCGTCGTCGCCAGGCAATTGAACTTCTTCGTGGTGCGCTGCTTCACCTCGCATTGCATGTAGACGACCTGAAGGGGGGGCTTGAGCGGAGTTTAGGGTTTCGGAGTCAGGGTTTAGGGTTTAGGGTTTAGGGTTTAGGGTTTAGGGTTTAGGGTTTAGGGTTTAGGGCTATAGGGTGGTTCACAGTCCGGCAATCCTCAGTGAGGGCGTGGGACCAGAAATCTGAACTGGGTTGGGCCCCTCCGTGAGGGTTTGCACCCAGAGGCCACCCTAAAACTTCAACCTGTACCCCTAAACCCTAAACCCTAAACCCTAAACCCTAAACCCTAAACCCTAAACCCTAAACCCTAAACCCTAAACCCTAAACCCCCTTCACTTTGAGAACACCCTAGGAAGCCTTCGAAAGCCCCCTAAACCGGGCTCGGCCACCTCGGTTGCATCGGTGTCGAAGCTGCTTTCGCCTCGGTACTCTCCCAAGGAAGGTTTAGGGTTTAGGGTTTAGGGTTTAGGGTTTAAGGTTTAGGGTTTAGGGTTTGGGGTTTAGGGTTTGGGGTTTGGGGTTTGGGGTTTAGGATAGTTACATGGTCCCTTAGTAAGGGTGCCCCTTATATGTCCTTTATCATTATACCCTATGGAAAATAAGAAACTATTCTTAGACTTTCAAACCCGTTGTTGCCCCAAACCCACTACCCTTTAAAATGCAAAGACGTGTTACGCACACTGTGAACAAAAGAGCTGCGGCGCACGACACGAGATCCGAAGTGAAGTGTCTTATCCTTCTCCATCTCTTTAAATTACTATCTCTCCTTCTCTTCTCTCGCTCTCTCTCTCTCTCACCTCTCTTATCTCTGGCTCATATCTCTCTCTTAGCTCTTTCGCTCATCTCTCTCGCTCTCTCCGTCTTCTTTCCCTTTTATCTCTCTCTCATCTGTTTCTCCTTTATTTCTCCTATCTCTCGCCTTTCTTTCTCGCTAACGTCGCTCTCTCTCTCTCTCTCCTCTCTATATTCTCTCTCTTTCCCTTCTCTCTTCCCTCTCTCTCTCTCTCTCCTTCCTCTGATCTCGCTCTTGTCTCTCCCTCACTCTCTCTCGCTTATCTGTCTCTCTTATCTGTCGCTTATCCTTCTTATTTCCCTCTTTTCGCTTTATCACCTCTCTCTCATCCATCTCTCTTATCTCTTCCTAAACTACAGTTCGGTTCGAGTCGCTACGAACGCTTTCGGACGCTTGCGGACGCATGGCAAACACAAAGCACACGATGCCATGATGCCACGTAAACTCCTAGACCCCTGGAACCGCAACTCTTAAAACAGGAGCCCTTCAGCTGCTGCGCAGTCAGGGGGTTTAGGGTTTAGGGTTTAGGGTTTAGGGTTTAGGGTTTAGGGTTTAGGGTTTAGGGAACCTGAGGCTGCCACACTTCTTCTCTGCATCGCTGGAACGGTCGCCACTGAGGGCATCACATTGCCACTCATCCTCGGTGCCCAAAGGATGCTTCAAGGGGTACAACCCTAAACCCTAAACCCTAAACCCTAAACCCTACGGTTTAAGGTTCTTCAAGGGCTCTTAAAGGGGACGACAGCGTTCTGTAAGCTTTAGGGTTCAGAGGCCAGGGATCCAGAAACTCGGAAGCCCCTCAAGACAGAGTTTAGGGTTTAGGGTTTAGGGTTTAGGGGGCTTTAGGATGTAGGATTACGGTTTAGGTTCTATCCCCTCACTAGAGGCACTTAGACGCCTGTGAAGAGTTTTCGGGCTTTGGGATTTAGGATTACGACTTCGGGTCTAACCCCTCAAGTAAGGACTTGGTTTTTTGCCGTTTCGGCTCTACACTCCCCTCAGAACCTTAACAACATGGGGACGACAGCGTTCTGTAAGCTTTAGGGTTTAGAGGCCAGGGATCCAGAAACTCGGAAGCCCCTCAAGATAGAGTTTAGGGTTCAGGGTTTAGGGTTTAGGGTTTCATATATTGAATAGCTTTATACAAATTCGAAGAAAACCGAAGGGGGCTGAAGGGGTCTAAGGCTGATGAAGGAAGCCACAGTTCTTCGTCGCAGGCTCAGAAATACTTGTTGGTGGATTCAGGGTTATATCCCCGTAGAACCTTAACAACAATACCAGTGTTGCTT